CCCAGCAAGGACAGGCTGGGTCTTGTCGAGGCTGTGCGGCTCTGCCCATATTGTCCTTGTTAAGTGGGATGACAGGCAGTAATTGACTGAGTTTGATAAAGGACAAACCCAATCTCTCAGGAAGGTGAGTGGTGGYAGAATTGGGATTCCCAGTGCTTGTGGCTGCTGGGGAATGGGAGGCCAGACAGAAGTAGCCACGCAGGCAGGAGGGACCAGCTCTATGAAGGGCACAAGGAGGGGGGGTTGCCCTGRGGCTGCGCTGCCCGGCCCTGGAGGAGCCGCAGCCCGACACGGGCTGGCAGTGCCGGGCACTGCTCGAACGCAGCCTGGGCCACCGGGGCAGCGCAGGTCCGTGTGCGCGGCCATCTCGCCGGAAAGGCACCCGCTGGGACATGTGCCCTTAGAGAGGGAGCGAACTGGGGGACACTCGAGAAGGCAGCGAGGGAAACAGCGAAGCACACGAGGAGCGCTCGCACCCGGCGGAGCTGACCCTGCCGGGGACACTCGGGGACGCGCGGGGCGGGCGGAGCGCCGCTGCCACCTGCTGGACGGGGACAGGGGACAGGTCCGGTCCGTGGGCTCCCGCGGGCTGCCAGGGGCCAGCGACGAATGGAAGGCTACGATGGCAGTCCTTGGAGCATCCCGCGGGTCTGAGCTGAGTGGGGTGCAATTGTCTGARGAGGGCTGGACTGCCACCGCTGAGAGATTTGAACACCGTCCCTTGGTGTTCCTCCAAAAATGCAGAAAAGATTAATGATGCTCCAAGTGAGCTTTCCCAAACACGGCAACCCTGTGCCAGTTTATAGCCAAGAGCCATGTGCTATAAAATTCCCAGAGAACTGCACATCAAGCCCGGGTGGTCACAATAGTGAGTTTAAGGGCTTTATTACTCTCGTAACCATGTGATTGGAGAGTAGACGAAAAACACTGAAGTATGAATAATAGCTAATGAAACCAAACAATATTTCAATGCCAAATTTACTGTGAATGAACTGAAAAGGGCTTAAGCCTTACCTACACTTTAGAGATTAAAYGCTTTAAAAAGTGCTGGTGCAGCTGGAACACAAGTTTGTGAGGAGGGAAACAATTCTACAACAGAGACCTTCTTTTACTAGTCTCCTGTTATATGAATTATGCTATTCCATCAGGGAGCTGGATGTAGCACCACAATTCTCCATGGTGTTTGTTTCTGTTAACAGAGCTGATTGAAACTACAATCTCCTGTCTCACATCTGATGCATCCTGCTATGCTTTCCCCCTGTGTGTAGGGAAAATAGCCCATGCATTAATGCAACACTCCCRAAAAACCAAGAGTGATCAACATTCCTTCCTCTCATCACACTTATTCAACAGAAGCTTGCAACCTGCTGGATTCTCAGGGGTGTTGCACAGAGACTCTCTTGCATGTGGCAGCTGGATTGGGGAAGAAATCTGTGGTCTGAGTCCTGCTTTGCCTTTGCAGAGACAGTGGCAGGTGTTTGCTTGTGATATGCCATGGGATACGGTCTGTGCAGGATCTGGGTCAAAGGAGCAGAGGACCAAATGCCCTGACTCTGACAGCAGCCCAGCCTATGAGAAATGACTCCTTGAGCCCCTTGATGGAAGCTGCCTGGCTTGTGACCAGCGTGGGTCACCTCTGGGAGTAAACTGTGGGTTGGTTGCCACCCCAGAGCTGATTTCATTGCACAGGAGGAAACAGCTTTTGTTCTGAAGCTGGTTCTCCTCATGCGCTTGTGCGTTTTTAGGTGTGGTGCTCACCTGGGCGTTCATCACTGCCCACGGTGTGCCAAGGACAGGCTTTCTCCAGCAATGCCAGCTGGCCTAGACAGCCCCTAGGAGCACAGAGCGTGCCTGCTGCATGTGTGTGTGGTAACAGCCCCACACACAGATCTGCACGTCTGCATGTATTGCAATGAAGATTTAAGAAAGCAACACCCTGCAGATTGCCTGTAAAGCTTATTCGTAATCAAAATTGTTTTCAGAGATCAAGAAAATGTCATTCTATTATTATAAAAAGAGGAAAAAAAAATCACCATTATCTTGTAAAGGACCTGATAACTTCATCCTATAGCTGCTTCTTTCTGCTCAGGTGGAGATGCACATGCTCAATCCTCGTGGATTTGTGACAGCCAGTGAAGTCCCCACTGAAGGCCACTGCACAGGTACACAAATGTAAGAAAGCTCTCCAATATGCTAGGAAATATGCAAGTGTTAGTAAAAACGTCTTTGTACAAACATTTATGAAAACTTATTGCTAAGTTGTACAACATGGTAGCAAGTTTTTATAGCTCAAGTTCAATCTGTCCTTGCATATAATGTCCTTCRCTGTCTCTTCACCTTCTCCTCCTCAGGCAGATTTATCCTCACATATTGGAGATGTGTAGGGTTGCTTAGTGACACAGTTCTTACCTCTTGGTGTGCAGAAAGCAGCTTTCACCTTTTGTGCTGGTTCCTAAACGAGTCTCTCATGAGATGGTTTGATTCCTTAGCCTCTGAACATTATTGGAATAAGAATGGTATTATTCAAATATGGATAAAATCTACCTGTTTGATGCAAAAAAAAAATAGAGAAGACTTCTTTTAAATGAAAAGTAATGAAAACACATAAGTGTTAATACAGTGTGCTGGAAAAATTTTCAAAATGTGTCATAAACAGCTTACTCAACACCAAGGTACTCTGGTTGAAATTCTATTTTTTTATTTCTTTTGTTTAACAGTTGATTAGTGCTGGCACCACCACTTTYCCATTCTCTGTCCCTGATGCAATCAGGAATAACAACTATCTCTGGCTCTGTTCATATTGCCTGGAAGTGGAAACCAAACACTTGTGTTGGTGAGAACCTGCTGAAAATGGAATATTGCCAAGAGAATTAACATAGCACCCTAACTAAGAAAACAGGAACTTGGATATAGAATTATTCATCCATGGCTGTGTCTTTCTTTGTTGTAGTTGCAAYGAAAACTGACTATTGTATACTGTGTACTGCTTAACTTACATACAAGATTTCTCAAGAATGAGACATCTGTAAAACTTTAAAACCTCAGTCATGATGATTAAGCTCCAGGAAAAAAAAACTTGAAGGATTGTTCAAACTCTGGGCAGAAACTGATTCTGTTATAGAGCTGGGTACTTCTGTCCTGGTCCTTTACAGTTCTTCTCAGCACAGAGAGCTGGTCTGTAGCTGGTGTCCCAGCATCACCTCTCGTTGGTGAAAATGTTCCCATCCAGGCTGCTTCAGCAGTGGCTGAGCTCCTGGAGAGCCTTGTCYTCTTGGTTCTGGTGAGCAGGCTCTCCTTCAGTCCCAACAAGTGACTGCCCTTCGTTAACYGACAGGACTTTATTCTAGCCATGAAATCAAAATGCTTTGTAGTTCTAATTCAGTGTTTGATGGTGCTTTTGGGGGGCAATTATGAACACTTTGGTGCTCTCTTCTCCTTACACAAAGAAATTAAGTGTGGGATATTTAAAGATATATGTGCTCAGCACACTGATAGAAAAACTTCTGTGGCTATGGTACTTTGTCTTATACTAACATGCTGAATCCCCTTGTGATGGTGGTTTCTGCTTTTAGAAACAATCTTCYCTAGGAGGTTTCTTCCAGGCCTGCAGAAAAATGGATCTCAACAAAGAAGGGGAAAAGAAGAATGGAGACGAGAAAATCCATTGGCTGGTTTTCACAAGAATGAAAGTTTGGTGAAAAAGGCCCATGGGACTGTAAGGAAAAAAGATTTGAAGTAAGTGGTGAATGGTGCAATCAGACATGTATTGTTCCTTAGCCAGCAAATGCTGGTGTTCCACAAAGGCTTACATCAAACACCAYAGAGGGCATAGCAGAGTGATCTATGAGGTCCTAAAGTCTGGATCATATTCTCCCCCAGCTGACACATCTCCCATCATTCAAGTTTACTGGCTGAAAAGGAGTTTTCCAGACTCACATAAATCAAGTCACCCCATAAAGCCTGTAAAGCATTGYTTGCGTTTGCTTAATTATAGGGTGCTCTTGGTCCTGCCTTGTATTGGGCTTCAGGTGACACAGACATGACTTTTATTCTGGGCTAGGTGGGTGACTTGGTCTTTCAGAAGGTTCATGTCCCCTCTTTCACCAGCTGCTCTGTGCCCCAGCCAGTGAGAAGGCAGATGTGCACTGTACCTGGGTCCTGAGGGACGGGATGGGTTGGGATGGGATGGGATGTGGTGCTGTGCCACAGGCAGCAAGAGCTGCACTGTGGAAAACCCCCACGTTCCCCCAAAGCAGCAGCTCTGCACATAAGCCAGGCTACCTGTGCAKGGTCCCAGGAGTGCAACTGGGTGCCTGGCTCTGGCATGTGGCCTGTCACTGGGWTCTCATTCCTCAGCATTCCTCCTGCTTGGGAGCTCTGCAAATGCTTTCCATCCATTGAACCTGCTGATTCCATGCCACTGCTTTCCTTTTGCTAGGGAGTAATAAAAYACCACAAGCCCTAATAATACCAAATTCAGTAAAAGGATCCAACCCAGACCCCCAGCAACCTTCCAACCAGCTGCTGCCCTCTTAGTGCCAAGCTGCCATGATCAAGTAGGTGATATCTAAGGGATATCTCTGCAAATCCCAGCTGGTCTGGCAACATCACCTSTATGAACAATAGAGCCCAGAGGAACATCCTTGCTTGTACCTGTGGCCCTACAGGWGTGAGTCACGTTGCTTCCTTGGGTAATGTCAGAAAAACAGCAAYCCTCAGTACCCATGGAGAGGCACCTCTTCTGAATTATATATTCACACCTGAGGAAGGACCGGGCTCGGGCTGTACATTCTTTTATAGTCTCACCACCAAAACAAGTGTGTCATCCCAGGGTTAAGTCCCGGGACTCTCCAGGGTACAATCACAGGCCTGTGGCACCTGTAGCATCTGGCATGGCTACTTGCTGGTGGCCAGTGGCAAGGCGAATGCAGGCAACCCCAGCTACTGTTATTGTCAGGTTTGCCTGGTGTAATCCTGGTTTGTTTTTTTTTTTTTTAATCAGGCTTGCCTCAGGCCTGGCAGGAGTGCAGAGCTTGTGGAAATACTGTGAAAGCAGAAGATTGCAGCCCCTGGTTTCCACAATGACCGCTACATTTACTCCCGTGTTTCACCCCGGTTTTTACAAKGAGCTAAGGAAGAGGATGCTGCGCACCCGCCCGGTTGGCGCTGCCGCTGCCGGGAGCTTCTGCTCTCTGGCCGGTCACTGAAACTGCAGGAGGGCTCCAGCCCCGAGCAAAGGCTCCGTCCGGCCCCTCTCCCCGCCGCTCCCGGCCGGAGCTTCCCCTGGAACTGACCGGGMTGCAGCAGCYACTGCCCATCCTCAGCAGCCGGCTCCTTACAGCCTCCTCTTCTCCCGGCGGCATCAAGAGCTGTTATTGCTGCTAAGCAACAGAGAAGGATTCCTGGACTTGTCGGTGTTCCCAAGGCTACTGGGATAATAGGGTGACGGTGGCTCCTAACAAGGGGCAGTGCCCCCCCGATCGGTGTCACCAGCTGTGCTGATATAAAAGAGAGGATGCTCACTCTATGGGGAGCTGCTGGTGTGCCCTCTCCTGGCTGCTCAGGCAGACAAGCAGTTTGGCGTTATCTCTGTGATAACTTGTAATTCCAGCCTGGGCAGGCAATCCTCACAATTCCAGTTCAAAAGTGARTCGTCATGAATTTGTCTCACCTAAACAACAGAGTTGAGAGCCACTTCAAAGTAGCAGAGGTGCATGAACTGGAGACAGTGGGGAAGAAAGCTTGGGACAATCCTGCTTACAATGGCTCTCCCTCTACCTCTTTGAAAATTCAAACCATCTACAACCCCAAGTCTGTCCTGGAGAATCCCTACGAGAATTTTGAAGAGGTTGGGGATCCACTGCCCTACCAGGAAGAGCAGAGCAAAGCAGTGAATGGGAAGACAAGTCCTTTCCTCAAGTGCTGCTTCTACATCTTCAGAGGCATCCGAGGTAAATCTCATGTTAGAATGGACTTATTAACCCTCAGAGCAWTGGTATGGGAAGGAGGGGAGGAAGAGAAGGGATGCAGAAGGCAGAAACCGTACTGTTTGTGTAGCTCAGGGTTCAAGATGCAGTATCATTACTGCAGATGTCCTCATTCTGTGTGCCTTGCTGTAGCTCCATGGTCTGTCCTGTTACCTTTACTACAAGGTAAGAGGTTTAGTGGTGTGCTTATGGTCATGCAGTGAATCTGTTGGCAGAGCCTTAGGTGCTCTGAATCCACAGGAGCCATCACTGTGGTGGTGGGACTCTTCTGTCTTTGTATGCATTTTCTAGATAGAGTGGTACTGGCCCCTGTGTAAAGTAACATCACAACTGATAGACATAACTAGCAGAGAAAATCTAGCGCTGTCAGGACTGAAATGTAGGGGGTTACAGCAACATATCAAATACTGCTTTGCTTGAAGATAGCTGGAAGAAGGAGGTGCTGTATTCCAATTTAAAAGACAAAGGGGAATGAAATGTTATGTAGGCTTATTCAGAGGCAAACAAAACCCAGGGGCAAGATACGTGTCCTGTCAGGATGCAGTCCTGGGCAAAAGCATTGCTTCAACTTAGAGAAGATAGAAGATATATCTTCTTAGAGAAGATATAAAATCCTAGTATTTTAAAAACAGGGAAGACAAAGCAAAAAGAAATAAATTTTCTTGCCAATGTGCCTTTTTTCCCACTCACTTAGCAGGCAAAAGCCTTTCTCAGAGCTGTACCCTCTAACAGTACAAGTGGGTGAGTAACAGTATAGCTTGGTCCTGAATGGCACAGCCTCTATATGATCAATACTTTTGTCATTGTCACTGCAGTCTAACATTACTAATTCACATAGAATTCAGAGCAGAGGCTTTAGAGATCTCTCCTGGGCGCAAGGAGCAGTGCTGAGTGGGYTTGGTAGGTAATTACAGATTACTCATAGGCAGTGTAAGGTTTATTCTGAAGTGCTTTCTTCTAGGCAATTTTGTAGGCTTAAAATAGAAAAAAAAAACATATCCATTCTTTAACACCAAATTTCCATTTGTGAGCTGCCAGAGTTGARCTTGGAGCATGCAAATAAGATAACYGTCAGGACACTRCAGCATTCTCTTCTTCTAACTGTTGAAGTAGTGAAGGGTGGTAAATAAGGCTGGAGGAAACACCAAAGCTGGGAATCCAAAGGCCTCTGAGCCTCACAGAAGTGGGGACATTTTCTTTGAAGAATCTGCCTCCTTCCTTTGCATCTTTACTTGYTGCTCATCATTTTTCACTGCTTCTCCATTGTTGGCGCTCCCCCTTTCCTTTCCATTTAATCACCTTGGTGTAGCACATGGAAAATAGAAGCTGTAAATATAAGTCAGTTAGACAATGCCAGTTTGAGGGGTTGTTTTGTTTTTTTTTTTTGCTTAAAAACCGTTTCCTGGCAATACATGTCCATAGCTCTTGGAGGCTAGTAGTAATAGTTGGATTATTAAATTTTTTTCTTGTCCTCATCAGCTACTGTGCAGGCTTAGCAGTGAGTAGCTGCTGTTCCTAGTGCCCGGCACAGGACCATTCCTCTCTAAATGGTGTCCAAGCAACTCTGTGTCCTGGTTCCTGCGACCTCAGCTGTTTCATGGCCAGCCTGTGGACAGACTTTGCTGGGTATCTGGGTGCATGGTGGTTGATGAAGGGTATCCACCTTCCCACTGCCTTTGGAAGAAAATCTCCCGCTGCACCCTAGTCACTCACCTGGGTCACAAGTCTGCTCTAAAAGCACACCCAGAAGATAATGTAGGTGTTKCCAGTAATTCTTRTCAGTCACTCATTACTATCAGGAAKTGAGACTTATAAACTAATTGCATTTGTACCTATTTTCTAGATTCTGTTAATTTTTCTTTGCTCAGCCGTGTGAGTGTTGGATGCTTATTCAAGGTGTCACAAGGAAAACTGGATGTCTTTAGCCTTAAGTCCTTCTACTCCAAATGTCATGTGCAAGACAGCTGCATTCCCAAGGGGATAGTGGTGCCAAAGGAGACACAGAAGGGGACATACTTCGTGTATGAGGTGACAGATTTCCCTGGCATGCTTCCTAAAGACATAGCTGAAAATAAACCTCAGCTTATATAGTATTACAACTACTGGATGCAGTCTGAAAGGGTGGTAGAGCAGGGACCTCATTGTCCTCCAGGGACCATTTTGGGCAAGTCTCTGAACCAAGTTCTCAAGGATATTTGAGTGTCCTTGAATTTACATGCTCCTGAGTACACTTCTGTWCTCAAAGAAGGTCTGCGCCTTTGCTCCAAACATAGGAGTGGTAGGGGTTCCCTGCTCTTGAAAAAAAAAACCAAAACAAACCAGTTAAAAGATAGTGATGTAGTCATATATAAGGATGAAGGTGGTAATTTAAAAGTGGCCTGTTTCCCCTCGTTTTTCTCCACTGGGAGATTCTTGTGGATCACCTGATACTGTCTCCTCCACAGGAGTTAGTCCAGACCTTCTCCAGGCTGTCATTTCTGTTGCTGGTCTGGATTGTCCAGAACAGGCTTCTGTTTATCTGCCCAGGAAGTGAAGGCAGACACTGCAACAGTCACTATGGTAGCTGATGGTGCTAAAAGCTCCCTAGTCTGTTGAGATGCCAAAGAGCTATCAAAATGACAGGATAAATGCACACAGACCCCCAGAACACTTGCTTGCTCCAGAGTAAAAAGAAATTTGTCATCTGCCAGAGATGACTTTAAACATGGGGCCTTTGATCAGCTTTGATCCTGGTTTGCAGGAAGATGCCTGTTGCATCCTGCTGGGGATAGGAATCAGGGCTGAACTCTGTAGGAGCTGCAGAAAGCAGCAAAACTGTGGGTATTATTGACATGGCTTTCATCACTAGGCTTTCAGTTGAAAGTTCTTATGCCTTTCAACTTCAGGAGCATTCCAGAAATCACAACAGAAAAGCCATTACAAAAAGAACAAACAAATGCACTAATGGAATCGGSTGGTTCATCAAACACAAAATATCAAGGCTCCTTTTAAAGGAAGTGTTTCTCTGTTATTGACAGCCCTTGTGAYATTCAATGAGTTGTGTGAAGGAAGAGGCTCATTAGCTGGTGTAAAGGAATAACTGTATTGGATTCAGCTAAGCTCCATTGTCAGATGTCCTGAAGATAATTTGGCTCTAAATGTTAGGCTGAAAATATTGAGTTGGGTTATTTGATTAAGTCTTATGGCCAACAAGAAAACTGCAAGAGTTTTTAGGTGAGCAAGAGACAAATACTTGGGGCCTAATGGTTCAATATACACTGAAAGGAGTAATAGCTGTAAAGCCAACACCAGATGCAGTTCTGCTATGGAAAACCTCTCAGAMGGTCAGCTCTTAGCACATGGGTGATTGAGATGAAATACTATGGTTTCAAGAGCATTTGTGACAAAGACTGAATTACTGCAAAGAGTAAGCTGAAGAACAGTCAGGAAAAGCTCAGGCCATAATGAATTCAAACAGAAAACTAACCAGTGATTTAGCAAAATAAAAAGCCAATATATTTCAGTGTTGGTCAGCCCCAAATCTTTTATTCATGCTGGAGTGGYTCTTCTTAGGGGTATGTAGCACATTTTTATGGCTCAAGTTTTGAAATGAAAAGTGGCTTGGCCTTAAAAAGTGACAAAACTTCAACTCCCAGCAGCGTTCTTTTGGAACAGGATTACAGCTCCTCACTCCTCAAGGTCCTTGAGAATGGCCATCAAAACTCTACAGTCTCTTCTTTATACCCAACAGGTCTGTGGGGGACTACACTGACTGAGAACACGGCTGAGAACAGGGAGCTTTACGTGAAGACCACCCTGCGAGAGCTGCTGGTCTATGTTATGTTCTTGGTGGACATCTGTCTATGTAAGTAGCTGTCRTATTTCACAGGAATCATTTTTGTGTGCAGCATGAGGGGAATAATGTGAGATTTTATAATTAGCCTTCCTTGCTCTGCTCTAAGTGTCACATTTATTGTATGGACCCTCACAGCAGCAAACAGTTGTGTCATTAACCTACACAACAGCTGCTGTTGTGTAAGCAACGGAGAAGTAAAATTGCTGACCAATGCTAACTGATGTTGGTTAGGCTTGAGCAGTATTTTCTGATTCACATTATCAGTTTTAGCCACTGACTCCATAGTCCTGGGACAATCTGCCCAGGGTCTGTTCTCAGCTCACAGCAAATGCTTAAGGCCTGTAGAGCAGCTCTAGAAACTTCCTRGGATCAAAGACACGCATTCAGGGAGATTTTCCCCTCTGACACTGGATGGCTGGCTGAGGTGATAAGGCCGATGACAGCTCACCCTGTTGTCCTTGGGTGAATGTAACGTGTCCCTGTACTGAATGCTAACGCTGGTGGACTTTGTGTGGGAAGGACAATGGCTCTTTGGTTTTGGGAAGGTTTGTTTGTTATCACAAATGAGCACCTGTGGCCTGGGACAGKGAAGAGAATTATATTTCATGGACCCCATGGCAGGAGAGATGGACAGACAATACCACCCTGAGTTACTATCAGACCAGCCCTGGGAGACAGAGCCTCAGTTGCTCTCCCTAAAGAATTCAACCACACGCACAGACGTACATGCTGTCACACACTGACTCACCCAGGAGCTGTTGGGGGGATTTGTCTTCAATATCAGGTGCTTTATTTTCCTGGTGTCCTTTCAAGAGTAGGACATGCTCTTTGTGATCACCATGTTGGATATCCTTCTGAAGGAAGGAGTACTGAAGAGGTGAAACAACATGTTTGTGGATGTTAGAGCCTGTTTCTCTTGGGGTTTCTTGGTAGATGAAAACTTACCTGGAGCTTTTCACTTGGGAAAATAGGGTGGTCTCTGTGYCTTCATATCTTCACAGCAGAAATTCAAAATATGTATCCTCAGCTTTATTCTGAGAAATACAATTTCCTTCAGAAATTTTGTCCGAGAACTAAAGCTTTTACCGAAGATGTTAAATTGTATCATCCAATGGTCCTCTCTCACTGCTTAACTCTTCTAGTTGGTCATTCTGAGGGTTTAAACTCTGGAAAGGGCAGCAGATAAGTTTGCAAATCCCTAAGAAAGTAGAGAGTCCTAAGATTTCTTCTCCTATGCCTTGTTCATCTTACCTGTGAAAATGCAAGGTACATAGAAAGTAAATATATAAATACATTTATATCAGGCTCTAATATTCAAGTATAAGGAAGGACCCTCCTCTTGTTCTCTTAGTGACATATGGAATGACAAGTTCCAATGCCTATTACTACACCAAAGTGATGTCTGAGCTCTTCCTGCAGACCTCTACAGATGGCCGTGTCTCCTTCCAGTCCATTGGCAGCATGGCTGACTTCTGGGTGGTGAGTACAGATCTGGCTGGGCATGGGGAACCCTCTCAGCTCAACTGGGATATTCAGTTCCCTCTGAAGCACTATCTAGTGATTTCAGTGAGGCATTTTGCTGCCACAAGATTTTGMCAGCTACTGGCAATAGCTACAATAACACTTGCATGCAAAATCTTCACTGATTTAAAGTATTATTTATCTCTGAGCCCTGTTTCCAGAATACAGGCTAGCTAAGTKCTGTGTGTGCCCAGAAGAGTCCATTTCCCAGTAACTTGCCAGCTGAACAGGCAGGACATAACAAAATAATTATGGTGAAATGAGCATCAGCTCATTGCACAGRTTGGAAGTACTGTCCCAGTGAAGCCAAGGGATTTACTTGAGGGTTCCTTGTGCTACAAGTGGCTTTGAATCCTACAGTTCAATATTTTCAAGCTGGTGTCTTAGTAATAGCCTATGTCTGTTTTCATGGCAATTTGGGAACCGCAAAATTAACCTGCCTGTAATTCATGCCTGGGCTTGTCTAATCTTAGATTTTTTTTTGTGAAGAAGCTGGATTAAAATTTGCAGTGACTTTTATCAAAGAGAACAAAGAAGGGGAAAAATGTCTAGAGTCTAACTTGTTTCTCTCAAAGAACGGGTGAAGGAATAATRAGAGCCACAATGAAGGCCACTGAGTTATTGCAACCACTTATCTGTGACAGCCAGAAATTATTTGTCAATTAGATTTGTCTTTTTCTATCGTATTAGAAGAGTCCAGCAARCAATGGCACTATTGTTTCTCCCCCACTGTTTCCAGGACAGTGGCACACGCACTTTTCATCATTCACAACCGGTGCCAAGGCAATTGCTTGAGACTTGTGCTGACTGAAGTGGAAGAGACAAAGAGACTTGTAGGGCTCCTGTCTCTTCATTAGTCATAGAAGATGCAGCAAAGACATTACAGACCAGTGAGAAAACAGTGATGACCCTGCTGCCCAGCATYCCTCCTCTACCACCAGCTCTGGTCTTTCCCCTCCTTAATAAACATAYAACACAAACTCCTACTACTTCCCACCTTGGGGAGTGGAGAGGGGTGGGTCAGGTCTTACTATCTCAGTCCCAGAGAATTAAGGGAATTGCTCTGATGTGTGAGCTCTGAAGGGGCTGCTCTCCCCTCCCTCCCTTGCAGTATGCACAAGGTCCCCTGCTGGATAACCTTTACTGGACAAAGTGGTACAACAACGAGTCCCTGGCAGCGCACAGCACCCACTCGTACATCTACTACGAGAACCTGYTGCTGGGTGTCCCACGTGTGAGACAGCTGAAGGTGAAGAACAACTCCTGTGTGGTCCACGATGACTTCAAGGAGGAGATYTCAGGCTGCTATGATGTATACTCCRAAGACAAGGAGGAAAGGGTCTCCTTTGGGCTCATCAATGGAACGGCGTAAGTACATCTAACACAAAATTAGTCTCTTCTAGTTAAAGAAGAACTGCTGAGCTGCAGGGTGTCGGGAGTGAGTTTCTCACRTAATGCTGGAATTCCCCTTGCACTCAGAGGCAGCAAGTCCTTTTTGTCTATCAATAATGTTGAGTCTTYCTTTGCAGAGAAGCATAACAGAATGAGTGGCATGACAGAATGAGTTTTCACGTTGGAAAGCCATGAAAAATCCAGTGGAAAATAAGGAAGAAATTGTTGCCTATTTTTAAGAGAGTAAGGATAAAGACCTTTAGGACTAGATGCATCAAATGGCAAGCTGGCATTCAGCTGGCAAGTTACTATTTGCTTCCTCTGGGATTTCAGAAGCCAGAGAAAAGGGAGTTCATCCCTTTCATCTCGGCAACATATTTCTCTATAATGTGAGGTAGCTGTAGTTTAATAACTCTGTTCACTGCATGAGTCTTGATCCACAAATGAGAAGCTATTCTTCATTAGGAAATATGAGTACAAGAGCATTCTAAGCAGATAGTTGTGTGTGATGTGGTAGAAGGCAATAGAGTAGATCCTGAGAGTAACCTCCATGAAAACAAGACTGATAGAGCCAACAAACCTCAGAATTTTCCCTCTATAGTATTGTAAATCATGTTGTGTCTCTGCTGGGAAGCACTAAACCAGAAAAATAAAAATAATAGAGAAATTRTGTAGGGTCAGATCTGGAATAGGAATTAAGTAGCAATTTTTAATTAAAAGCTGCTYTGCCCTGTGAAGACAACAATCTTATTTCTCCTGGATACAAAGCCACGTCCAAACCTGAACAAGTGAAGCCTTTGTTTGTGGCTTGTCTCTTGCAGGTGGAGGTACCATTATGAGGAGGAGTTGGGTGGTTCATCTCACTGGGGAAGACTGACCAGTTACAGTGGGGGAGGATACTACATAGACCTCAAGATGACCAGAGAAGAGAGTGCTGAAGCCCTGCAAATCTTGAAGGAGAAACTGTGGCTGGATCGGGGAACACGAGTTGTCTTCATTGATTTCTCTGTGTATAATGCCAATATCAATTTGTTCTGTGTTCTGAGGTAAGCTGAGTCTCAACAACAATTCTTCAACCTCTTGCATCTTCTTCAATGCCATTGTTTATTAAAAGGCAGATATTTTATTATGGTCTGCCAGTGGGTCGGGTCTGTAGAAATTGTATGGATTACTGAGAAGTCTTGGTCTTCCTGAAATAACCAGTCACACTTCTCATCACCTTTCACCCTTTCCTATCACAGGCAGTGAAGCAGCAGAGATATGGCTGCATTCACGCATGCACAACTCTTCCATTCGTGGTCTGGTGCTCAAGTTTGATGCCTGTCAAAATTATCCCTGAGCCTCCATCCCCTAGTTTGTAATTGTTTCCTTGTCCCCTTCAAGGTTAGTGGTTGAGTTTCCGGCCACTGGTGGTGCCATTCCCTCCTGGCAAATCCGGACAGTGAAGCTGATACGATACGTCAGCACATGGGACTTCTTCATTGTTGCCTGTGAAATTGTGTTCTGTGTCTTTATCTTCTACTATGTGGTGGAAGAGGCTTTGGAGCTCCGTATCCACAAGCTGCAGTACTTCACCAGCATCTGGAACATCCTGGATGTGGTTGTCATTCTGGTAAGGATCCTTGCGCACTTTTTCGGGAGAGCAATGACGGGTATAAGCACCAAAATAAATGAAAGAATGTGGAAATTAGTCTGGATAAGACAACTGGCAGGTTTTGCTCTAATACTAACATGAACAGCAGAGTAAATGGACACACGCTCTTGTGTCTGGAAGAACTGCYATGASAAAATTCTTCSTTTAGAGATACCCAAGAGTCKGTGAAGTCAGGCAGTTCTGCACATMGAGAYYRTRTTTCCACAGCTTTCCACTAGACTGCAGCTCTGAAGTGGGATACCRATGAATTCTGAGACATTTTAGTTCCCATGGAAAGCATAGGTACCGTGGTCACTGAGGACTGTTCCTTGTCTTCTTTGCAGCTCTCCATTGTYGCTATTGGGTTTCACATCTTCCGCACCACTGAGGTGAACAGGCTGCTGGGAGAGTTGCTGAAACACCCCRACACCTACGCAGACTTTGAGTTCCTGGCATTCTGGCAGACACAGTACAACAACATGAATGCAGTCAACTTATTCTTTGCCTGGATCAAGGTATTGTAGGGGGTCTGGGGCATGCTAGGTCTCCAGTCACACCTCTTCCTCTAGATAGCTTGGGGAGTGTCTCTTCCATCTCTCTGAGTAAATGAGTGTAACAGCTATAAAATAGAGGMTTTTCCTCAAAGTCATATGCTCTGTTTTCCCGTAAATCTGGGAAATTTTCAGCCTGCATTCTGAGGCCAGTTATTTGTAGACAACAGTCAGGGAGATGAGCTCAGACACTGTGGTGTAAGTGGCTTTAGAAAATGCTGAGTACTATGTAACTTTGTCCATTCTCTACTATTTTAGTATTCTGGAGGTTAATCTTTCAAACCATGTTTTCCTTTCATGATGGTCACTCAAGAGCTGGAAATTACTCATCTGCTGGCATTTTTGCATTTCAACTAAAGCATCTTGGTATGGTGGAAAGCCACCAAGGGACTCCTCCTTAAGACGTTTGTCCTTCTTGCAGTCCCTGTTCATATCTTCCTTCGACAGAGGGAACAAAGTCATACATTCATGAGCCCARAGGAAGATGGTGGCACACCTGGGACAAATATCCTGAAGACTAAGCCACCATTCCCTAGCCCAACTTTCTCCTCAGTACTTTGGTACTATAATGAACCTTTTTGTCTTAGTAAGCATGTGCATACACGAGAGACTGACCTAGCTGATGGTTTGGCCTAACTTTGTCTCCWTTCTCCCATCCTGCAGATATTCAAGTACATTAGCTTTAACAAAACAATGACCCAGCTCTCCTCCACACTGGCACGTTGTGCCAAGGACATCCTGGGCTTTGCCATTATGTTCTTCATTGTCTTCTTTGCCTATGCCCAGCTGGGTTACCTCCTTTTTGGGACACAAGTGGAAAACTTCAGTACCTTTGTTAAATGCATGTAAGTGTATAAGTTAGTACCATGTTTCCATAGTTWTATCAAAATAATTTTAACTGCTTTCGATTCTTCCCCCCAGTTACAAACCTCAATATCAATSAGACACCTGTTGTATCTCATTGTAATAAAGCCACAATTAATAAGTTGCTCACTTCYGTGACCTCTTCATGGATAAAATAACACAATGAGAAAACTGAGGGCTACAGGCAGATTTCTGTTTGTCTGGTGTTTGTCGGTAAGGACGTGAGATAYGGGGGTATTGGTAAGGATATCTGTTTCTAGAGGAGTCCCACAGATAATGATCAACATATCTGAGATGAAGGATGACCAGTGGGTGGATGTGCACACACAGAAGGGAATGCTGGAGAACTGAGTTAAAATCCAGTYTCAGATAATCCTGCAGTCCATGGGCCTGCTCAAGCCATGTGTGATGTTAATGGAGGTATCTGCTACAGCAATGATTTCCAGCTTGTGTTCCACAGACCTCTGGGCTTCCAGGTCCTGCCTTTGAGGGGTCTACAAGAGACAACTGAGATAAGGAAGCTCAGGATCAATAGACTYAAATTTTCTTCATTATCGGGGCTAYGAACTGCAAAAGGTTGAAGAGCACCTTCTAACATCTCCTCCAGAGTCTCACAAACTCTCTTGCAAGAGRTGGCTTTGTCGAGTCAAATGCCTTTAATAAGGGAAAATTCAGATTATTTAGTTCTGGGATTTGACTCCTATTGATACCAAAACACATTTTGGACAACCTGAATTTGTGTGGAAACCATGTTTTATTTTCCTCTTGCTCTAAGCAGATTAGCTCACTTCAGTCCTGAAATACTATGGATACATTTAACTTGCCACTYTTGGGTGAATTAGACCCTGCTCTAGTTTGTGCCTGTGCCCATGAGGGCTCCAGGCAGGTTCAGGTTCAGAACTATTTGAGGATGTTGGATAAATGCATGTCCCTTTRTACGACCCTGTGTTCTTTCTTTCCCCCAGTTTCACCCAGTTTCGGATCATTCTCGGTGATTTTGACTACAATTCMATTGACAATGCCAACAGGGTCCTTGGGCCTATTTACTTTGTCACCTATGTGTTCTTCGTTTTCTTTGTGCTCCTGGTAAGCAACCAACTCCTCCTTGTCCCTGCATTGAGAGCAATGTTTGAGAGACCCCTCCTGACAATCCCTGGGGCAGGTGCAGTGCAAATGCTTRGGAAGGAATTTCTTGCAGTGCAAATAGACCTCAGTAGGCCAAGAGTGTGATTCTACAACTGGAGGTTTGATTATTAGGGTGATTAAGGGCCATGTTCACATCTGTTAAGGTGAGGACTGAAGCTGAGGGGTTTCCTGGGCAATGARTGCAGAGGGATGCTCACAATAACCAGGTTAAACACCCAGTATCAGGAGTCCAAATGTAACCTAAGATTTTGCAAGAGAAGCTATTAAAGGTGGTATTTGAGGTGGGAACAGATGTCCTTTCAGCCACTGCTTTAACTGCAAAAACTTCGGAAAACACGGTGTGGCTGAAGTGGGCCTTCTCATCACCCTCTTAAATTCCCCCAAGAGATACCCCATGGGCAAACTGAGTCCTGCACATCTGAGCCTGGTTCTTGCTGCTTCAGCTGCTGGAGCGGGCAAGATGTCTCATGCATATTCATCTCACTTCTTTCCCTTTTTCTAGAACATGTTTCTGGCCATCATCAAYGACACCTACTCAGAAGTCAAGGAGGAGCTTTCGAGCCAGAAGGATGAGCTGCAGCTCTCTGACATCTTGAAGCAGGTGATGAATAGTGAAAGCTGTGCTATTTTCTAGCTAAATCATAAAATGTTGTTTTGAAGTCTCTGACCTAAGTGGAATTTATTAGAGAGAAAGTGGCTGCCAGCTCCAGATTCCATTTCTTTGTGCACAAGAGCCACAGCTCCTTTCTGAGATAAATCAAACTCCCAGACCCTTTGGCAATGAGATGAAAAAGCAGTTGTTGGGGGTTCCTGTTACTTGATGTAGTGTTTCTGAGAGACTTTTCTCCTGAGGGTGGTCTCTAGACAGAGCTCTTTGATTCTGTTATAGAACATACTTCGATCAATAATGTTGCAAGTCCTACTTTACGAGGCAGAACCTATTAGAGTGGCACAAATCTGTCAGGTTACATCTGGCCTTCCCATGAGAAAATTCCAGAGAAGTTCCTGGAAGTTCACAATTCTGCTGTGGGACCAATATTCTGCAAAGAATAGTATTTGAGGCATTATCTTAAAACAGCTGATGTGTTGGGAAATCAGATAAAGGAAGAATTGGGATAAGAAAAGCAGAGGGTTAGCATGTTGGTGTCACTTTGGAGGTGTGATTCTAGTTTAGAGATGAGGCTCATAGAGCAGCATTTTATTTTTGTTTATGGAAAGCTTAAAACCTCCTGGTGTTACATAGCACATGCTCACCTGTGTTGCATTGCCCTCTCTGCTCTGCTTTTCACCCTTCTATGTGCACGGTTCTGTGTCTGTATCTTTGGTAACAGAGTTATAACCGGACACTCATGAGGCTGAAGCTGAAGAAGGAGCAAATTTCTGATGTTCAGAAAGCCCTGCAGAATGGAACAAAACAACTAGACTTTGAGGACTTCAAGAACAGCTTGAAGGAGTGAGTGAGTCAGTTTGAGGGATGCCCACTGTCCTTTCTCTTAGCAACATGGGTAATTTAAATTTTCTGCTTTTCAAGACAAGGAGAGCAGTTAGCTCAGACCTGGGCAACTTAAGACTAAAAAATCTTTCCTCAAATGTTTAATCTCCTGTTCTAAATASGTTTGCGTTACTGTCTCCTGCCCATTTGGGGTGTTTACATTTGTCACTAGCAGGAGGAAATAATATACTGATTTCAAAATTCTCACTCTGTTAGAACTTAACAGTGCAATTTTTTGAGCTTTCTCTTTTTAATCTTTTGCAGACTGGGCCATGCAGACCATGAGATCACAGCAGCTTTCTCCAGATTTGACAAAGATGGCAACCTYATCCTTGATGAAGAGGAGCAACAGCAGATGAAGCATGACCTAGAGGCAAAAAGGGTAAAAAAAATGGGCAAGGGAAAAAATCTTCTGTCTGATAGAGATCACTTCAAAGTGGCCTCAGGAATCTTTGGGTTTATGGTATAAACTAAGCAGGCAACTAAAATGCAGCTCCAACTCTGCCTGGATACAGCTGATTATATTGCTGCCTGTGAAGCTCTGTGTTATTCACAGTAAATCTGACACAGAGCCAGTACCTGCATTTGCAGGAGTTCCTTTGTTTTCCAGGTTGCTCTGAATACAGAAATTGAAAATTTGGGGAAATCCTATGGTGACAAKAACCTGGATGAGAATCTGACCTACGTGGAAGCAAGGAATAACCACACCAATAAGGCCAYCTGGGTCTCCAAAGAAGAGTTCCAAGAGTATGTTTGTGCTGTCAGTAGTTTAACCCCCTGCTAATGAGGGGTCTGATTTCCTGCTGYTGCCTTCCCTTATGTATCTCTTTACAGTGGTGCTGAGCAGTTTCAGTAAGATCTTGTCCCTTTTATCTCACACATGTGTAAATAACCAGGTCAGGAGATAAGTTGGACAGTTCTAGTAATGTTCTTTGCTTGTTCCTATAAAAGATTCAGTTAAGAAATGTTGCTTTCTGCCTCTTGAATAACCTCTGCAGCTGTCATCTGGCCACAGGCAAAATGCTGCCATGTTTCAGTTCAGAAGGTGGCCCAGATAACTGGGCCAGGGAAAGCTGATACCTTTACAGAAGGTCCTGTAGCAATAAATATCYTTGATTTATAGCCTAGTTGGCCTTTATCCTCCAAGTCCAGGAATAACACTTGGTTATTTAATCCACAGGAGGAGCACAGGATAAATACAGCACAGAGAATCAGGAGATCCTGATTCTGCTGCTGGGAAACACTGAGCAAACCACATGGGGCAGGTGCAATATTTAATAATGGAATTATACTGTGTCTGGACTGTGATCCAAAGTGGCTGGGATCCATCCTAAGCAGAAGCAGTGATTACAGATGGAAACRCAGTGTAGTAGGGAGTTATGTCGTCAGTGGGTATGAGTCAGAGATCTGATGGGGAGCACTCACCTCTATTTGAGGTCTCTGGGAGATGTCTGCTGCAAATCCTACTATTCATCACAAAGAAAAGCTTTCAAATGCTCTTCRTGTCTCCCTCAGCCTCCTTCATCGTGTGCTGCAGCTGGAACAGTCCACAAACAGCATTGGCTCCAAGAYTGATGCAGTGGTGAACAAGCTTGATGTGCCAGAAAGAAAAGAGCTGAAGAGGAAGGATCTGCTGGGCGAACCACTGGATGATGTTAGCAAGGTTGGAAACCTCCACCATGCATTTGAACCAGCTTCAGATCGGGTGCCCAGCCCTGCTGGGTGMAAGGGCCTGGTATCATCTTTGTTTTTCCAATCTCCAGTGACATAAGACAAAAAGGCTTGGGCAGGGTCAGCATTTTGTATGATCAAACCTTTTCTGTTCAAGCAAAATGACACAAAACATCTTGCTTTCATGTCCCCTCAGTTAACCATGGTACCTTTAAACACACCTTCTGGCTTCTTTGAGGCCAMCCTCAATCCTGTGGCAGTGCATCAAATTTGCCTGTCTTCAGTTGCTTTGTGACTSTTCATCCTCAGACATTAAAAAAAAGATCAAACTGTCCTTCCAGCAAGAGCAGCTCATGGCTGTCATGGAYTGTGATCTTAACATCTTGCTTGTGGATTGATTATCACACATGTGGTGGAAGGTTGTCAGCTTGTGAGATGCTTGTAGCATCTCACTGYACAATTGTGACTTTTGCCGAAGTCTGCCCATATTGAGTCAATCAGTGCATTTTGGGTCTTCAGCATTAAAGCCAAATGCAGCAAGGCATGTGGGAGCCATGTCATTACTTCATGGTTTTGTGGCTTCAATAATGAGAACAGCCAAACAGCATGAAGTGACATAGYCGAGTCCGAAAGAAGCCTCCCTTTTGCAGAGTAGTCTTGTGATCCTGTCCCATCTGAAAAAGTGTTTTGGGAGCTCCTGCTTCTCATGTGAGCATGGCCAAAATCTTTTGCAAGTGTTTGCTTGCACATTTGCTTTGCCACAGCATTTCTGTGAAGGTGCTWGTAAAGGATGAATCTCTCCTGAAGATTCATCTGAAGCTTTAATGTGCATTCATCAGTGTATTGTAGCTAAAAGTGTACTGGATCTTTAATAGACAGGCAGGCTTGTTCTGATTTCTGAAGGAATGTGGGAAGATATCTTAGTATCATGCACATCTTGCCTCTCTCCTGAGTGTTGCTAGACTTCTTGGTAGCTTGCTGACATTGCAGGTCACCCTTTCTTCTTGTTCACAGGAGGAAGCCAGTCAGGAAGAGCTGCACCCCCRGAGCCTAGACCAGCTGGGGAATGAAGAAGCAGAAAGTTGGGGGATGGAAAACGTACAGAGAAACAACCTGAGTGGCAACTCTTCCCAAAATGGGGTCTATCACATCTCGCCCAAGTYGAGTGTGCTGGGGTCTCGAGTGCCCAAGAATCTCTAGCCACAGTCTGACGTGTGCTTCTACACCACTGCTCAACAGCCCAGTGCTCCCAGTGTGGCTGCCATGGTACAAAGTCACTGCCAGTTGTTCCCCCACCATTAGGATAATCCAGACAGCTGGGCACAGACACCACTGTTGCCAGGAACTGTTCATGTGAAAAATCAGGGATGCTCTTCTCCAGTGTAATGATGTATAATGTCACAGAGCTGGAACTTCTGCCCTCCTTCACCTTCTTCCCTGCCCCCATATCTCAGGAAGAGGTGAAATTTGGAACTAGGTGATGTACTAGATTTYTGCCTCTGAACAGGCTGGCACATCTTTTGTCTAGCCTTCCCCAAAAAATAGGGACCCCAGAACACTTGTGTCCAGAGTGGCATATTGCAAATTGTTCCCAACACACCATGGTCTGCAGGAAGAGGATGTGGCTGTGGWGTAAAAAAAGCAGAACATAATCACTAGTGTGAAATGGAAAGAAGAAATGTGGTTGTTTCTACCTGCTTAGAGCCAGTTTTGTTTGTTGTAGTTTGTTTCCAGATTACTTTGGTAACCCTCTCTGTACCTCAGATTCAGGTGTTGAGGAAAGAGGTTACTAGTGCTTAACTTTGTGTAACTACAATGGGAGTTGACTGCCAGCAGAGTTGGGAGAAGGTCTGAGATATTCTAAAATGAGAATCAGTTGGTACTGGTGGAGTCCTAGACCTGAGTGTTAGGGAACAAACTTCTTGTTATATAAACCATATATTATATGGTTTCTAACTCAGCTGTTGACACTAAGAAATCTGTCTTTTTTTTTTCCACATTCCTTAAATTGCATCTCAAGGTTCTTGCACCTGGCAAACTAGCACCCTATTTTTGAAGTTTAACGCTTCTWTTTTTTTTGTCAAGGAAACAATTTGCAGTTGTGGGTGCTGACAGCAAAACACTTMTTTTCCAAGCATTTTTTTCTTTCCTTGTTATTGGTGCAGACTATTACTGCTATCACAGGGCCACTGTAAATATATTTCAGATATCTTAATCACTGATACTTCACAATAGTTAACCCCAAATAGGCTCTTGGGTGAAATGTGAGCTGCTAACAGCTCTCATTAGTGCTACACTGTTTYGTGTGCAGCATAGTGATAGGTTTAGTGAGGACCTTGTGCAGGGGCATCTTGTATTGCCACCTTTTTTAAAATGGATGTGTCACTGCATTCAGGGGAAAGCCTCTCTGGCAATGTCTGAAGGACCTCAGGATGAGCCCTGTCCTCAGATGGCCCAGGTTTCAGGGCCGTCACAGCCATAAGATATTCTTGGTAAACTGAAGTGCAGGGTCGTTCAACTACAAGGGCCCAGCAGGAGCTGTGAGAAGCAGCTTGTTGTCCAGCTCACAGGGAGTTTAGATTTCAGGTAGGAGCTGTGGCGGCAGGAACTGCAGGGTCTCATGACTCACTTCCCATCTTCAGCTGGTCCTGCTGTTGGGGACAAGACTTATCTGTGAGATATTGCCACAGTTCTTGACTMCCAGTTCCACTGAATTCAGAATTGAGCAAAACCTCTTACCTTCATCTTTTTTTCTAGCTGAAAACAGAACAATAGTRTTGCTCATTTCCTCCTCCTCTCTGCATTGAAGCCATTATCTTATTCAGCAGAAAAAAGCCTATGACAGGAGAGCTTCCTGAAATAGGAATGTTTTTTTCCTCCAAATTTTAATTAAACAGAGAATTCATATGCTAAATTGTAATTGAACAGAGGAGCTATGTGCTCTGTAATGGGCTCAAAGAGTGCACAGAGCCCTTTGTAGTTAACTCATCAGGTTTTCTGTGTGTTGAAAGGCACAGAGAAAGGTTCTTAAATTAATTTGTAAGACTTTATTTTAGATCCTGGCTCAAGAGCAGACTATGAGTACCAAGGCATAATTGCATAGTAAAAAAAAAAAAAATTGCTGTTCTTTTAAAGTCTCTGAAAAAGTGTCTGCCTTTTCCATGGACTCAAATTACTGGATGAGGTTCTGAGTCTGTATTCCTGCACAGATATCAAATGCTTGGGATGCTGATCTGTGAAGAACTAAGTCTGGCACCACAGGAGAAATCCCAGCAGCAACTGTCTGCTTCAGATTGTTGAGCGTGTTGTAGTACTCAGTGTAAGGTATGCTGCTGAAGCTGAGCTCTTAACCTAGCAATAACTGCTGTGAGGGTAACAGGATCCTGAAATCAGGTTCTGCCAAGAAAATTAAGGTAAAACTTATTATCTATAAAGCTTGGCTTTATAAAACCTCAGATTTCTCACAAGGGATAGTGTTGTTCAGCTGCTGTGCTCAACAGGGAAGGTGACTCAGGACCTCCCTTTTTGCGTTGCCCAGTGTTTCTGTTCCTCTCCTGAGCTGTGCCAGACCCCAAGACCGGCCCCACAAATACCCRCCCACTGAAGCAGGGATGCTGCAGCCACAGCAGCACACTGCAAGAGCCCTGCCTGTCACTACACACCAGAGGATAACCTTCACCCCTCTGCCCCTTTCTGCACAGGGACCCCCATCAGCGTCAGGGAAGGCAGGTGAAGTGCACAAGTGTGACAGCTGAAGTCAGACCCACGGGGCAGTGACCAAGAACCTCAGAAACCAACTCCAGGCACTGGGGCTGCTCTTCAGGGCAGCAGGAGGGACAAAATGGTGWTGTTCATGTGCAGTGTTTGTTCGTGCCTGAAACTTGGGAAGGCGGTTTTCCCCTGCAAAGGGAGAGCATGGGAGTGTCCACAGGGCCATTGCAGCTGCAAGAGATGTCTGCTATGTCTGCCTCTTGCTCTGCCTGTCTCTGGTAAGGACACTCTAGCCCAGCTTGCCGGGGCTCTCCCTTTCTCTCTGGCAAGAACAGCCTGTCAGCCTCCCCTGCCCTGGATTTGGGGGACAGCAGCCAGCCAGCCATGCTGAGGAGCCCTAAACCAGCTCTGGCTGGGATCAGGCAGGAACTGCAGGCTGTAGTGTCTCCCAGGTCAGCTCCTTTCCCCCTTCCCAGCAGAAAGACCCCTTCTTTCACCCTGTGCTGTGATTTTAGTAGTGCTAGTCCTTCTCGGTGAAAAACAACTTCTGTTTACTGGCATGTGCCTGTGTCTGCATTAATCTCTTTTTCTTGTACATCTCCGTGCAACTGTGCCTTRTCTGTTCTGTGTCCATGCTGTCATGTGTATTATGTGTTTGAGAGTCGGGCAAGGAAAATAGTTGTCCACAGCATTTGCTTTTGTGTAATTGTCGACTGCATTTTTAAGCTGGTTGAGAACATAAATGCACCAAACRGGAAGTTCATACAGCTTCCCAAATATATCTTGTCAGGCCTCCCACCAGGAGCTGATATTATTTAGATGATATATGTCTGACGGGGAAAGTAAAGTATTTTTTCCTCAAAAAAAGGCGCATGGCTGTGTGTTTTGTTTCAATATGCAGAAGGTAGCCTTCCAAACTTCCCAGCTGTGGCTTGAGCTGGTTAAAATCTTTGGGAGGAGGTTTGGGAAAGGATAAAGTGCTCTGAAGAGATATCAGCAGTTATCACCGTTATTTGTGTTGGCAGTGGCAGTGGATAAGGTCTGAGGCTGCTCAGGTGGGTGCCGTGTGCTCTCCTGGCCTGGTGCCAAGGGGGGAAGGAAGAAGTGTCCCAGCCATGATTTCAAAGTACAGGAGAGGCAGAGACAGATTCATGGAGGTGTGCAGGGAAGGGCATGGCAGCGATGTCAGAGAGGAGGCTCAGGCACCCGGAGTGAGCAGCCCCAACCAGCCACAGCCACGAGAAAGGAAAGCCCCTGGCAGTGTCCCTTTGCTGTGCCCCTCCAAGAACATGATGTCATTGTCTTAACAAGAGCAAGCATGACTTTTCATGTTTAAAAGGAGCACAAAAATCCCCAGACCACCCACAAATACAGCCAAGCTCCTAGTTACCTCAGCCTGTTTACGATTACCAGTAGGTGTCAGTCAGCGCTACTCAGAACCCTTTGCATCTACAGCYCCTTCTCTTCCGTTTTTAAAGGGCACAGAAACAAATCTCTCATTTCTTTTACTGAGAGAAACTGAGATATAGAAAAATTCCTTTCGTGGTAGCAGAGAAAAGACAGAAGCAGAATCCATGGTTTCCAACAGACATGTTACGATACTAGACCCTCGGCTGGAGTATTGTTTCAAGCTTTAGCTGTCTCAGGCAGGTTATAATCTTCCCTACAACCTGTAAAGAATATGTAGAGGTTTGGCTCATTTTTTTCAGTCTTGTGAAAARTTCTCAGTAAGTGCTATTATCAGTSTGGAGCTGTTGCTGRCTGGTGAGTCTTTAGCACAGGAGGTTGTTAGCTGCAGGCTGCCCTGCCCCTCTCTTTTTTACAAACACGCCCTAGCAGGAGCCATTTAGAAAGAAAAGAGCAACATCAGGGAACAGCTATCGATATTCACAGGTTTATCAGTAACTAGTGAAAAAGGAAGGGGAGTAGCCAGCAGCTCCTGATGATCTAGCTGCTGATGATTACAAGCCCAGATRATAGGCCATCCTCTTGCGGGTTACAGAAACCCTAATTCCAGTTCTCCAAACACAAAATCGAGGAGCCTGGGAGTGTGAGAACAATAAAAGTAGGGGAAATTTCAGTGCCAGGTCCAGCCCCCATTCTGGGCTCAGAAGCTGAGCAATAAGATAACATGAATGTGCCAGGTTTTGGAGAGACAAGGCACAATTCAGTGTTTGAGGAACAAGAAGCCCTGCTSATGGCCTGTTTTCAGAGGTGGCAAATGCCAGGCGTAGCTCATTGCCAGCCAGCCATGCTGCACACATGCCAGGCGCTCAGGCAGGTGATGAAGGGTGCCAGCCCCGCGGGGTGCGGTGAGATAAAGCCCAGCYCTGGATGAAAAGTGCCGAAGGAGGAGTGCAAAAGTTCAGTTGCAAAACAATGGCTGTTCAGGATGAGTGTCCAGCCCAAGGCGTGCCACAGCAAGCCACCAYGAGAGCCTGTGTGCCTGGCAGTGACAGGGCTGTACAGCGCAGCATGTCCCAAACAGCTCTGCAGCTGCTGTTTCCTGGCACCCCACAAGACACCCATCACTGGGTGCTGGGACACTCACCTCTGGGTGCCAGAGGGCACAGCAGCCTAAAAACAGCCCCTCGCAGCAGCACGCAAAGCAGGAGCTTGAAGCTGCCTTTGCCTGTGCAGTCTGAAAAGGCGCTGGGAGGCCATCCCAAATGCTCATTTCCACGGGCTGTGAATATCTGTGGGGTCCTCTCCTGCAAAAAGCATCAGAAATAACTGCAAAGGAGGAGCTCAGATGGAAGAACTCCATCTATGTGCACACACACACCTGTAGACATATTGCTGTGATGTGTCAAACCACCCAGGTTGTTCAGACATGTCTGGAGCTCACAAAGAGAGCAGCTTTTTAAAGCACATACAAAGGCTTTTGGGGCAGATAAAAGGACTGAGTTTCTTCTCAGTTTCCTACATAATTGACAACTGTTACAGCAGCRAGAGATGCTAGGTTTTCTGAATCCCTTCAGGAATACAGCCTCTTCTGCCTCAAAGAGTTTTATTCTGTTCAGGCCCAGAAGAGGCCATGCCACCAGCAGGCATTCTCTACCACACAGAGAATAYTGCAACCTTATTTTATAACAGAACAGTTGGACTTGCACTCTCTTACCAAATATTCATTAACGAGGAGAGATGTGCCCAAATGAACTGTTCAGCATTTGGGCACCAGGACCTATGTCTCTCTTGTCTCCAATATCCTTAGCCTGGTGACCATGGGTTGTTTATGAACGTGTCTTTTTACACCCTTTAGGAAATGAGAGTGTTCAGTTTCTCATCCTGTGCCTCCTCTGTGAGCCTTTACAATTTACACTTTGCCCTTTCTCTCCCAGTMTGAGTGTCTGGAGCAGCTACCCCTGGATATGCTGCCGTCCTGGTGAGAAGCAAAGGTTGGTGTCATCAACATTTGTCACTCCTGGTGTTCTACACCCAGACTCTCATTTACTCTCCATTCAGACCTATCTCAGCTTTTCTATTGTGACCCTCTACTCCCCCTGCCTCTCCTGACTATGGCCAACCACCCCCAGCCCTAGGACACCTCACTGGCCTTCAGTGGCTCCTGGGTGTCTCTGGGCTCCCTCTGCCCCTTTTGCATGCACTTGTCATCTTCACTCTACACAGCCATGTCCAAGGTAGGAAAGAAAAATTAAGTTTGGAGAGGAGCAGAGCAATACAGTCAAAAAAACTGAGATGCCCTGGTCAAGACAAACATCAGGCAGTGGCTTTACCAAGAAAAACACCAAATATTGAGATGCAYTTGGGACCTAGTGGAACATAACCAGTGAGGCCAGATGGAAGGTGAGTATAAAGAACTCTGGCATAAATATCTAAGAAGTGTTCTGCTTTTTTTCCCAAGGCATTACTGGGTGAGTTGTGCAACCAAGTGCTTTCTTCTCTTTGTTCTCCTCTTTATTACTGCCTTCAAGACAAAAATCCAAACATTTAGTCTCACTTTCTGTTTTGGGTTATCTTTGATAACMCTTGCTACCTGGTGATTCCCTGCTTTTCTTCCATTTGTTGATAAATGTGATTTCTCGTGCAGTCTGCATCAGAGTAGGGCACAGCTGAGATTTCTGAGCCTTTGCAGTTTTTCTTTCACCTGTGATTCTCTCCCCATGTCATGGCACAGTAGCTCTCTGTCAAGATCATATAGCACTGGTGGGCCTCTAGGAAGACAGAGAMGAAGGGAAGTGTTAGGGATGAGCCAGAGCTAGTTTCTTATCCTGCTTTTTCCAGAATGCAAGCTATAATGGCATCTCACACTCTTACTGTTGTGTAGGGTCCCTTGGGGGAAAAAACACTCTGCAATTCTGGGTGTACAGCACCTACTGCAAAAAAAAGTCTGACTCTGTTCAGGGCTGCCACAGGAAATCCTAATGGCAGCAGCTCAGGCCTTGGGAGTAGATAAAAGTTAAACAGTTTTTAGGAATGTCTGGTGGGGTAGCCTGGACTTTGCTCCTGAGGAAGGAGGTGAAATGCCTACGTAACAATGTGTATGTCAACATCCATGTCTAGCGAGGGAACTGACCTCTGCAGAGCTGAGTTAGGACAGATAAAACACAATTTAATCCTGTTAGCCTCCTGCAGGCACTGAGGCCCTCAAAAGGGAAGCAGAAGGATGRAGTGCCCATTCCTGACTCACAAACAGCAATACAGACTACTGGAAGGAGTCCTGCCCAGGAGCTTGGGTTGAGCGTGGGGGGAAATTGTAGTGGGGATTGTGTGTTGTGGCCCCAGTTTAGCTCGGCACACTTCTCGGTCTGAAGTCCCAGGCTTTGTCCTAAAGGTGTGGGAATACTATAGGGGCAGCTGTGGCTGGTGTCTCTCCCAGACCTGCTTTGCTAGAGAGGACATGGGAGCTTTCTTTCTCTGCAGCAGGCTCCTGAACACATTATTAACAGCAGCGAGTAGGAGCGATAAAAATCATAAATGACATTTATGATGTCATCTTTTTAACTCCTAAAGAACTGCCATGGTGGTTTAGATGCAATAGGCACTTTATAGATTACATCTTTGGCTGATTACTGCTTTACCAGATAATACTGTTGATCCTATTGAACTAATCATGATTTCTGTCAGAATGAAGSCCCTAATATCTSAGTGTAGCATACTAGTTAAGTACTGATTTCCTTTACTCTTAGATTCGTTTGAACCATTTCTTATCTTTAACCAATTAAAGATTTAGTGCTACTATGAATTCAGATAATGGACTRAATGATTAACAAAACCTGACAGAGTCAGATTTCTTCTACATAATCTGCAAGTCTTGCAAAAGCAAACTTCCCCAAGGCAAGCACCACTTTAACCAAGTAAGGGAGGCCAGTCAGCACTAGCTTTGACATGATGAGCAATCAGATGGAAAAAACACAGTGAGATTTTTTTTGTGCCTAGGGTGGTAAATTTATAGATGCAGCAGATTCAGCACATGTGTATACATCTGTACAGGGTGTGTCTTTTGAAATGGTTCACTGGAGCTTTTGGAAAAGAAGAGCCCAGGAAGTATCGTTCAAGCACCATGTCTGATATTGCCATCTTCTGCATTGGCCTCAGGGCTGCTTTGGCACAGTGACCATTGGGATCTGTTTATTGATGCATTCAGTAGAGAAAGCAATKGAACTAATTATCATATATTTTCTCCTGGACATGTTTCTTATGTACTCGCTTACTGGTTCAAGTCCCTGAAATATTCTGTGAAATTCAGCATTAGGTAGGATTAAAAAACACCCTGGATCTTCAGGTCAATGAGAGCAGCAAGTGGAGAAACAAAAAGCAAGCAGTGGAGAAACAGCAGGACTCCTCAAAGCCTCACCTTCTGCTAGATCCCTTCCCCCATATTCAGGATGGTATCATGGTCCCTCCTGCTCTGCAACCCTGTAGTGGCAGCCAGATCAAAGGCTCAAGGCAGCAGGAGCCAAGGAGCAAGAGCAAAGATCTCAAACCTGTGCTAAAGCCTGCCTGAGATCTGAAACATGACCCAGGCTGGTCCTCCCTTGCTATCACAACATATCGATTTGAAGCCTGTAGCATTATTTGTTTAATGTCACTCAGTAAAAGCACCAGGGCTTTGTAGCTTGGTGCTTTCTAGAGCTTCACCCTGGGCTAATGCCTTTGCTGTCTTTTTGTGAAGACCACATCCTTTAATGTGCACTAAAGCCTGACAGTTTACAGGGCAAATGCCCCTGTCAGTGGATGAGGAGCACAAAGCAGTGCTGGCACCCACCAGCCTCCAGAATGGTGGGAGAGAGAAGTACAGTAACATCAGGCTGTCATCAGGCTTGTTGTGAGGATTTGTCTTAGGTAACTACAGCCCTGGCCACTGTTCTGTGTCTCTGAACTGGCTGAAAACTCCCTCAGCAACAGTAGGAGCTAGATCAACTGGATTAGTAACATGATCCTGTTGAAAAGTACTCCTAATTGGGGTGGAAGATGAAACAGGCTCTGCTTTAGGAAGCCTAGAAGACTGCTGCTTGAAGAATTCGCTAGAGAAAAGCCAGAGCCCCCAGCCAGATACTGTATTTGGCAGATTTGGTTCCTCCCCATATCTGAGGTCTCTGTTTATTTCTTTGTCATTGGGATGAGCTTAGGCACAGGGGACAGAAAAGTGGATTTTCCATTCTGTGAAGGAAGGGAGGAGCAGAAGTGTTTCCCAAAATTAGCAGCATGAAGGCACCTATGACCTTTGTCTGAGGAGCAGCTGTGCAACTGAAGCTGTCCAGAGGGACCTGAACTTTTAATTGTGCTCCTTGAGCCAGTTGTTCTCCTGCACCACTGTGCAGGCACTATGTGGAGCAGCAAGTTCGTGACTCAGAAAATGCTCACCTTTGCTCCCAAGCACACAGGCTCTGTTTTTCTCACTGTCCCAGGCATGTGACAAGAGAAGATTGACTCTGCAGTTTGTTGAGGGGTAGCGAGTATTTAGGATTGAAATATTTTTGAAGACAGAGTTGTGCATGCTTGGTGAAACACTAGGGCAAAAGTCTTGAATGTAGGCAGATTTTCCTCAAAAGAGGAAGTTAAATCACATAGGAAACATGAACTCAAGTCCACTTCTGCCCCACAGAGTGACTGAAGATAACATTCAGCAAGCCTGATCCTTGGGTGTACCTGTGGCAAAACCTGTGCTTCTGACAGATCTCTAGGGCTATTTCAATACCCCCATAAACCCACCTGCTGTCAGCCCTGCAGAGCARTGCAGCTTCATGTGGGTGTCTTCTGCCTAATGCATCAATGGCATTGCGTTTATCAGCGTGCCCACAGGGAGGCAGGTGTTGGAAAAAGCAGAAGTGAGCCTTTGGAGTTTTAATTATTGTTAGTGATTGGATAGCTAGAGGTACATTTTAGCCTAGCTGAGCCTTAAATTGATCTAGCAAAAGGTGTAGTTAGAAAAAAGCAATGCTGTACYGAGCTGCAGAGGGCAATCATACCGGAGACAATTAACTTGATGACTTGGTGACAGCTTAGCCATAAATCATGTTTATAAACCATAAAATTGGGCTTTTCCTGCATTCACAACATCAAGGAACTTGGGGAGATAAAGCTTATTTATAAAGACAATAGTGCTTGGGAATGGGAAGACAAGGAGAAGGCTTGACTCCAAACTGAAGGAAATCCGATATTTCTGCGTTCACACGTTTTCCTATCTGGGAACACATGGCAGCACAGAGAGAAAACCTGATGGACGAGCCATCCCAGCAGGATGTCCTGACCCCCTCTGGGCCCACCAAGGAGCACAGGGCCTCGGAAGAGGTGAGATGGGAGCGGCAGTGCCACCCTGGGAAGGGCTGCCAGGGCGGCCTATGGCCCCAGCTGACCCGGCCGGGCTGGACCCATCCCCGGGTGTGATGACCTTTCCAGGACTGGGAGGGACAGTGGGCGCTGCCTCCCGTTCCCCGTCTGTCCCTCGTGYGCCGGGGAGCGCAGGGGCCGCGGGCATTTCTCTGGGCTCCTCGTGTGCGGCGCCCGCTGCCCTTCTCGGGGGTTTCCAGCGAGCGAAGCCCGCGGCGTTGTTCCCCGCTGCTCTCCCCGCCCCGGGAAGGCGGGCTGACGGCGGCACCCGGCACAGGGGGCTGCTCCGCGCCGCCGCCCCGGGCCCAGCACCACCGACCCAGCGGGGCAGCGCTCCGGCAGCGCGGCCCGAGCGCAGCGGGGCCGGCCCCGGGCAGCACCGACACCGGCACCGACACCAACACCGACACCGACACCGGCACCGGCACCGCCCCGGGGGTCGCGCCGCCCGCCGAGCGGGGCTCCATCACCAACGCCTTCGCCCGCCACCGGCGGGGTTTGCGTGACACCGCCGGCACTCCCCGCCGCCGCTTTATGTAACGCGCCGCTCGGACCCGCTTATAAAACGCCGCCGAGGCAGCGCCTCCGCCAGAGCCGCCGCCACGCCGAGCAGCCGCGAGGTAACGGCGCGGGCAGGGCCGGGCTGGGCTGGGCCGGGCAGGGCTGGGGGCGGCCGAGCAGCGCTCCTGGCGGGCCGGGCTGTGCCGCGGGCGGGCGAGCACGGGGAGGAAAGCGGAGCTCGGGCCGCCGGGACGGGTCGCTGCTCCGGCTTGGTGCCGAAACCGGCCCGTGCGGCGTGGGTGGGAGACAGAGGGGCGCTGCTGCTGAGCTGCTGCTGCAGCCCCAGCCTACCTGTAGCTTCTGCTGAGATTTTCTCGTCCTCCTGCCGCCCGAGCACACACCCGCTTGTGGTTTAGTTTGCCAGTGCTAATCGGTAGCTTTGCAAAAACCTGCATAAAAGGGTGTACGGTGAACTAAACTGCAGAATCTATCCAGGACAGATACAAGAAAAATGTTCAAAAGTCTAACAAAGGTCTTTGCCCCTAGTGTCACTGTCATCCTTGTTTTTTTTTTTTCTCATGCTCTGTTGTGCAACCTTTCAAGTATATAAGCCATCTCTTGCTGATATAACCAGCATGTGCTGTGCTGTCTCTCATAAGCAAGACTTTCCCGGGAGTGACCAGCCTGAGTTCAGTATGGGTCCAAACTAAAAACCCTTCCTTTTCCCCACCATTTMTATTTCACTTATATATGAAAAAACTCCTGCAACTTGTTGAGTTTTCAGTGATAGAAAGAGGCAAAGAGGAAAAGAAAACTCCCGTTTCTTTAAACCTKGCTTTTGTAGCTCCAGTTTCATAATTAGGGTGACCACCTCTCTCTCCCTGAGAAATCTACTACTGCTGTAGTGGTGGTCCTATTARCTATCACCCTGTCAGTCTGGAGGGAAAGAGGTGCAGATGGTGGAAAAGGGGTGATTGGTGGGATGCTTCTACCTTCACACGAAATTCAAGGACCTGTCTTTCTGGACAGGTCTTTCTCCTTGCTCTTTTAACCTGRAGAGCACCTTGGCTTTTTCCAGCATCACAGTAAATTTTTAGCATGYGTGATTGTTATTTTAATCACATTGGTATCACTGAAACAGACTTGTACAGCAGACAAGATGCATGTGACTGGCCTTCATTTTCATGAATGTTTTCACAACTATTTTTCTTGCTGTGGTTCTTCATGGGRATTCATTAATAGGCTTTCTCTGCTGCCTTTGTTGGGGGTAGGGGGGTAAGCATGTTATGACTGAAGAAGGGGAGCTTGACTCTCTGAACCCTAAGTGGTCCATTTGTAATCCCCACCATTCAAAAGACGGTGACCACCAGTGATAGTGGGCTTGTTTTTGCGTCATTGGATGCCCTTTGAGCGAGCATCATTTACTCCAAGAACATACTCCTTGTTCTTAAAGGTTAGTTCTAAATCTGTGGGTTTCCGTGCCTTTGGGGACTGCCTTTGGATGTCTTCCGGTGCGGATGTCCATCCTTGTGGAAACTTGGCACRTGTACGGATTGGTATGGTCTGCATGAACTTGCTTTTCCTAGACACTTTCTGGAGAAATCTTCGTTCACATGTCTCCTTCCCTGCATATTTCTGTGTTCGTTGTCTCAACAGATGGGAACTTCTCAAAACAACAGTGACCTCAGGAATCTCCATGCAGTGGAGCTTGACCTGTGTAACAAGGACATGATGTCAGACACCTTCGATCACAGYGTTATTTCTATTGGAGAAGAGGAAGGAGCGGGCAATTTCCAACGTTCTGTTGCAACCCAAGAGTCCGTCCGATCTCCTCGGGGCTCTGTTGTGAGTTTCCATAACATCCAGTACTCCGTGAAGCAGTCCAGTGGATTCCTTTGTAAACGGAAAACTGTGGAAAAGAAGATTCTTCATAATGTTAAGTAAGTGTTAGCTTAAATGAAATACTAGAGGGTAGGAATTAATCTGCTGCTGTGAACCAGTGACCTCGTGTCACCTTCCAGATCCAGCTGTGCTGGTACAGAAATGACTCCCCTCCTGMCAGTCAGCAGTTCATGTGAGCACTTTGATTTGCTTTTAGGCAAAACAGCTAGGATATAASTGAAGCCATTTCAGTTATTGATCTGAACAAATTAGGACCGAACTTTTGTGAACTCTTCTGCCAGCAGATCTGAGGGTTCCCTTAACTATGGTTCAAGCTGCAGTCAAAGAAAATGAGGAATAGAGAGGAGTTGCTGCTTCTTTTCAAGACCCGGCTCAGCAGGGAAGACCCTTAATTTCTGTCTTTTGTAGATTGCTTTTTATGTCCTTTTCTGACTGGCAGTCTGGGACAGAAAGGRAAAAATGCTTATTAATTTCAAATTTAAGAAGTTTTTAATCTTGAAGTTTTCCTTTCAACAGCATTTTGTTCACACCTCACCTCTACTAAAAGCTGCATATGGATGGTCCTTTTAAATGTCCTTATTTGTAAACAACTCTTTCCTTCTTCCAGTGGCATTATGAAACCAGGCTTGAATGCTATCCTGGGACCAACGGGGAGTGGGAAATCTTCGTGAGTACCTTCTGCTCCTTTAAATGAAMTGTCAGCTGTTCAAAGTATTTAGGGGATTCTGAGAGTTAGGGGAGATGTGAGGGATCTGCAGGCTTAGACCTTTGCATGTCTGTGAGAAATCTAGTGATGCAGTGTGACCTYCTGCCCCTCTGTCAGCTTTGCTGAAGTTCTTGCACTGTGACTGTGTCACACCCCTCATCTGCTCCAGCTGGTGCTGCTATTGCTGCAGTCATCGGCCTGAGTTAAGATACCGGGCAGAACTGGGRTGACTGGAGCTCAGATGTAGGCTGTGTCCTGACTGGTAATGGGGTGGGGATGGGTTACAAGCTCCCTTGGGGCATGGAAGATGTCATCCCCTCTGAATTCACTGCAACAAGACTTCTTGAAGCTGCTAGGCCAGCCCTCTGACAACTGACAGGGATGTGGTGTAATGCAGTCTGAGGGATGCTCTGGATCCTTACCCCARCATGGCTGTGGCCTGCTGGTGAGGGTGCACACGTGCTTGAGTTGTTTGGTTGAAGGCACAAACACCATGCAGACTATCTCCATCCAGTGCTGATGCTGTTTTCTCTCCTGTGGTAAGAGAGCMCTTTGTCACTCTCTGACTTCAAGAATGTGAGACACTGGCAAATATGGCCAGGGTTCATGCAGAGGTGTCTTTGTGGTGACCATTGATCACTTTTCTAAGGAGACTGCTGGTTAATTGGGGTGCTTTTAAGAGCAGCACTTCATCAGGGCAGTTTGCTTAGCTGACAGACAGGGTGTCTTCTGCCCCGGCAGTAAGGAGAATCCAGTGACACAATAAAAAAAATTACTTCGTAAAATTCATCTTAGTCTCGTTTATACCCATATGGATTAATTTCCTTGAGATCAAAGGAGTTAGTTCTGTGCTCCCCTGGCTGGAGAGCAGGCTGCAACGAGTCAGCAGGGTGCTTTTGTCTCTGTGCATTTGAGGTTATCTGTAAATACACAGACCAAGTTTATGTCTGTAGGGGGTTGACTGTTGTGAATTGTGAGCGTCTGTACACTGCCATACTGCTGTGGCACACMGTGTGCTGGAAAATCCTGGATGTACACCAGCTTTTCTGTACAAAGAGCTAAAGCCTGCAGCGTAGGGGAAGCCCCTTCCTGTGCCCTCTGCTTTGCAGCAYGCTGTGAGCAGGCTGTAACTCAGTCCTGGCTGGTGGTAYTTGCCCAGTCAAGGGTAAAAGCAGCAGTTATTGCAAAAACTAATGCCTGCTGTTTATCTGAAGTCTCCTAGATGTGCTGGCTGCTAGAAAGGACCCGGCAGGTCTGTCTGGAGAAGTGCTTATAGATGGTATCCCACAACCTCCAAACTTCAAGTGCATCTCAGGATATGTTGTGCAGGTGAGTAACTGCCTTTGGTGAGGCCTGGGAGATCTTGGGATGGAAGATGAGGAAAGCATGGTTTAGGTTATTTTCAGTGATCCCTACAGAGCCTAATTTGATAACTCAGATGTTACAGTATTTAGTTTTTATCTGGGGATATGGAAGACAGCATCAAACTGTTACTCCAGCCTTATCAAGCACAGAGGTGTTTGTCTTCCCACAGCCAYGTGGATGCCCAAATTACTGGGCTACTGTGACTTGTTCTTTGGGCTCTGCCCTGAAGTGCTAGCAAAAATTTAAAAAAAAAAAAAAAAAGGGAGAGAAAAAACCATCACACCCAAAATCTCTTGTTGTTAWACTCAGAAGCAGTTTTAGCTGGCAGAAGTACCTTCAAACTATCAGACAATAATTCTAGGAAATAAATAGATCCCTGCTGTTCTTCCTCTGATTCTAGCTGGCTGTGACAGAGGTTCATTCCACTTGGAGACAGGAAAAGCCAGCTGAATCTGCGGAAGTGGGTGGAGGCCTGGACCAATAATAGACCCTCAAAGCCCTGGGGAACTTGGGGAGAAGGGGATTCTTGGCAGCCATATGAGCAGCCAAATCTGGAAACCATCCAGGGTTCTGACTGCACACAGATGTGACATAGGCAGCTGAAAGCTGGGGGACTCTGGGAGGATCTGGGATGAGACTGGTGCTGAATCTTGATCCTGCAGGTCAAAGATCTCAAAATCCTCAATGACTTGAAAAGAGCCAGTAAGTTTCTTGCAACTGTCCCAGCCTGAGACATTTKTTTCTCAAATGTCCAAAGCAGCTAAACATAACCTAAAGCTAAACATAACATAAAATGATAAGCAACTTGGTGAGACATTTAATGGTCTCTCCCCCTCCCCCCCTGCAGTACTCCCTGGATCAATRAAAATGGCCCAAAAACTACAAACAACACTGAAGTCCTATGTACATACATAGTTATAAAATCAGTTTTATGCTGATAAGCATGTAGGCATGCTAAGTCGTGTTTTCCCTATAAAACTGCTGCTGGTCTCTCCACTCGTGCTGTGARAATGAAGGAGTGAAGGCATCATGCCACAGTTGTTTATGTTTGGTATTAAGTTTAAATTCACAGTTCAGTTTCCAGTGCAGTGACCCAACAGTTGTATTGGTGATCTGAGGGATGCTAGGGTCAGAGACTGGAGGCTTGTGGGAAGGGAAGGGATGCTGTGAAATGCCTAAACCATCTTTGGCAGCAAAGCAGCAGATTCTGTCTTCCTCTGTTAACTCCAGTGCCAAACRTGGTTGACTGATACATCATTTGTGYTACTTGTGAGCTACATCTGAATGGGAAGAGTCCCAAAGCAGGCAGGAATCTGCTGCTCTGCAGCTTAGGGGATGTCTTCCAAAGATGCCTGATGTTACAGGCATGTTTCTCAGCAGCTGCCCAGTGTTGCAGCCCTTTTATCATCATAGGGTAGGATGCAGAATTGGTACAATTGTCAAAGTTGGGGGGAGTTTGGAGACACATGGAGCTCTGGATGGACCAGATGACAAATCTCTACTTGGCTCATTGCAGGTTGGTGTAG